CTGGCAGTATGTTTTTATGTATATATGTATGTATGTATTAAAGGTTAGTAAACATTAACCAAGAAGATTTATTCTAGGATTACAAAGTTAGTTTGACATCTGAACATCAATATAATATATCATGTTAATAGAATAAAGGAAATAGACCTTAAGATCATCTCAGTAGATGCAGGGAAAACATTTGACAAAATCTAATAGCCATTCATGCTAAGAACTCAGAATACTAGAAATAGAAATGAACTTCCTCAGCTTGACAAAGCACATCTATGAAAAATCAGCAGCTCATATCATTCTTAGTGATGAGACCATTAAGACTGAATGCTTTCTGGGCGCCTGGGTGGCTCAGTTGGTTAAGCGACTGCCTTCGGCTCAGGTCATGATCCCGGAGTCCCGGGATCGAGTCCCGCATCGGGCTCCCTGCTCTGCAGGGAGTCTGCTTCTCCCTCTGACCCTCCCCCCTCCCATGTGCTCTCTCTCTCATTCTCTCTGTCTCAAATAAATAAATAAAATCTTTAAAAAAAAAAAAAAAAGACAATGCTTTCTGCCTAAAGTCAGGAACAAGGTAAAGATTTGTGTTCTCACCACTTACGTTCAGCATTGTATTAAAGGTCAGTGAAATAAAGGGCATACATATGGGAAAGGAAGAAATAAAACTGTCTTCATGCCCAGAAGTTAGGATTCTAAGTGAGTGAATTCTTTTTTTTTTTTTTTAAGATTTTTTATTTATTCACTTGAGACACAGAGATACAGAGAGAGAGAGAGAACATGAGCAGGGAGAGAGGCAGAGGGAGAGGGAGAAGCAGTCTCCCCGCTGAGCCAGGAGCCTGATGTGGGGCTTCATCCCAGGACCCTGGGATCATGACCTGAGCTGAAGGCAGACACTTAACCATCTGAGCCACCCAGGCGCCCTAAGTGAGTGAATTTAGTGAGGTTAAAGTATTTAAGATCAATACACAAAATCAACTGTATTTCTATACCAGCAATAGCCAATCAAAATGAAATTTATAAAACAGTTCCATTAATAAGAGCATAAAAAGTCAAATAAAGGAATAATAAATCAAAATAAGGAATAAATTTAACAAAAGATGCAGGACCTACTTACAGAAAACTGCTAACTGTTGCTAAAAGTATCAGGAATACCTAAGTAAATAAAGGTACATGGCATTGCTATGGATTTGAAGGATAATATTGTTAAGAGGGATTTTTCCTACATTTTGTACAGATTTAGTACAGTCCCAATCAAGCTCCCAGAAGCTTAAAAAAAATTTTTTTTTTTGAAATTGACAAACTCATTCTAGTATATAAGTAGAAATACAAAGGACCTAGAATAAAAAATGTTTTTAAAAAGGAAGAACAGGGGCGCCTGGGTGGCTCAGATGGTTAAGCGTCTGCCTTCAGCTCAGGTCATGATCCCAGGGTCCTGGGATCGAGTCCCACATCGGGCTCCCTGCTCCTTGGGAGCCTGCTTCTCCCTCTGCCTCTCTCTCTGTCTCTCATGAATAAATAAATAAAATTTAAAAAAAAAAAAAAAAGGAAGAACAGAATTGGAGGACCTGCATTAGCTGATTTAAGACTTTAGTCTATAGTAATCAAGACAGTGTGCTTTAACATAAGGATGGATGTGTATAGATCAGACATTGAGAGGTAAAAAATAGACCCAAGCCTAAGGTACAACTGATTTTTGACAAAGGTACTAAGATTATATGGGAGAAAGAACAGTTTTCAGTGAATGTTTCTAAAATAACTGGATATCCCTTTCCTCCCATCAAATATAAAAATTAATTAAAAATGGATCACAGATCTAATTGTAAGGGTTAAAGCCATTAAATTCTAGAAGAAAATTTTCTGGAAGAAAATCTTTATGGCCCTAGATTTAAATCTTATGGCCCAAAGATTTCTTAGGACACAAAAAGCATGAGCCATAGAAGAACTTGCTAAAATGGACTATCAATATTAAAAACTCGGCTCATGGGAAGACACCACTAAGAAAATGAAAAAGACAAGCCACAGTTTGGGGGAAAATATTTACTACATATTTATCTGACAAAGGACTTATTTCTAGAATATACAAAGAACTCTTATAATTCAGTAAGAAGACTATTTAAAAAGGGGGCAAAAGAACTGTGAACAGACAGTTTACAAAATAAGATACACAATTGGCCATTAAGGACTAGAAATGATGCTCAACATCTTGGTCATTAGGTAAATGCAAATTAACATCGACAAACTTTGCTTATAAGACAAAGAGGTAGAAAAGGGAATATGTAAAGTCAAAGAAAGATTTTATTTGTTTTGGGATGGAATTGGCCTGAAAACTCAAATCTGCATCATTACCCCCAATCTATCACTTTTTTTCTGGTTTCTTATTCTAACTGTACACACACTGTATATTTTTTTTCAATATTCCATCAGAACCTTCTCTTCAGTATGTTTTAATGAAAAACTATTTCTGTTTTCTTCCTAAGCCCTGGTCTTTCACACTCATTATTACAATGTCACTATGAGATCAGACTCAAAATTATGAAGTCATTTATTTGTTCATTCTTTCAGCAAAAATTTGTCCTTTTGTACTCCCACTAATTACCTACCTGCATCTAGACAGAGATATCAAGTACGTGATTGGAGATCATGAGAGAGATTGTGGCTGGAGATGTAAATTTGGCAGTTCTTGGAGGATAAATTGTTTTTAAAGCCATGTATCTGGATGAGATTGCTTAAGGTGTGATTGACTAGAAAGAGATGTCAAAAACTGAGCCCTGAGGTAGTTTAATCTTTGTAAGTCACCTAGGTGAGCTGAGGGTGAGGTGGCCAGCCAACAAATTGAGTGGAACAGCCAGTGAGAGCAGTGTTTCAGAGGACAAGTCAGGATATTTTAGGGAAAAAGAGAGATACACGCTGAACTGCTCTTGATAGGTCAAGTCAGAGGAACATTGAGAAATGATTAATGGATTTGTCATTGTGAAGGTCATTGGTGACCTTGACAATATTATTTTCAGTGGATGATAACCTGATTCAAGTAGATTTAAGAGAAAATGGAAGGAGAAGAAGTAGAGAGAGAAAGGATAGACAGCTGTTTTGAGAAAAACTCTTAAGGGAAGTATTGGTCACTGGAAGACAATATGAAGTTGTAGACTTATTTTAAGATGAGAGATTTTATAGCAAGTTTGTAAGCTGATGACGATGATTTAGAAAAGCATGTCTAAGAAAATCGACGGTGTAGTAGAGAGAAGGGAGGGGTGGGATCCAGTGCACAAATGAAGAGGGTTGGCCTTTGCTGAGAGCATGAACTCTTGATTCACCATGACAGAAAGGAAGGCATTGTGGTTAACATAATTCTTGAGCTCTCACTATGTAGAAGGCACTATTCTTGAGAAACAAGCTTAAGTAGAGATATAAATGATTTAACCAGGTTTCTGTTTTTTTGTATATCACTTTTAGCATTTACTGTTTTATTATACTGTTTTTCATACTGTTTAATACCAGTTACATCAGAATTTGATACTAAAAAAAGGTAGCATTTTTTTGGCGGTAGTTCCAAATGCAAGTCCCTTTTCTCCCCATCAATTACAATTAGATTGTAAGCTCCTTGTGGATAATTGCTTTCATTTACAATGAAGTGCTCCTGAGCCATAGTGAACAACTCCCCAGATGATCCTTGGCAGTAATGTATGCTGAAGATATACTGTACTCTCTATATAATGAGATCTTCATGTTGACTTATCATGGGAAGAATTATTGGAGACATATAAGAGTGGTGTGTCTTTAGCACATTCCTTATTGTCTATCTTACTCTTCAAATAATATTTTCTATGTACAAAATTGAAAAATTTTCAAGTTAACGTATGTTGTCATGAAATATTAAAAGCTTGTATTTTTGTGTATTAAATTTGAGTTAAATGTTAATGACTAAAAATTTGGAAGGTACAGTTTATTTTTGAAGTCTTCTGTATGATCTGTTGAAAATTCTTAATTTTTACCTTGACTTCATTTTTCTCCTTCCTATATTCAGTTGTACTTCTTTTTCTACCATAATGGAGGACAAAGTGACATTAGAATCCAAAAAGTTGAGTTTCAATTCTTTTTTTTTTTTTTTTGAGTTTCAATTGTTAACTCTTTTTTCATGCCAGCTTCTGTAGCCATTTATGCAGTAATGAACTGCCTCTAGACTATCAGTCACTGTGATTATTATTTCTACTGCTAAATCTTGTGACTTCTAGTACCTTTCCCATTTTTATGGTAAGGCAGGTCAGGTGAGTTTCACATGACAGTAGGTAAAAACTTCCTAAAAGATTTCAAGACTGTACTGTTTGCTCTTATCACAGAAAATATTATAGATTTTAATTTGTCCTTAGGTTTCTAAAGGGTGATAAGCATCATCCTTGCATATACTTATTTACTGGTGTGCAACAATATTACCACAAATTTAGTGGCTCAAAACAACACACATTTACTATCTGTTGGTTTCTCTCTGTTGGGAATGTGTGTACACCTTCTGCTTCAGTGTCTCATAAAGCTTCAGTCAAGGCATCAGTCAGGGCTGTGGTTTCATCTGAGACTTAAATGGGGAAAGATCCACTTCTGGACTCATGTGACTTTGGGGCAGGATTCAGTTCCTTGCAGGCTGCTAGGTTGAGGGCATCAGTTTCTTGTCTTGGGGCCCTTTCCCTATGTCAGCTTAAAACATTGCAGCCGCTTCTTCAAAACCAGTAAAGAAGAGAGTCTCCTCCAAGATGGACATTACAATTTTATGTAACGTAATCATGTACATATAAACATCCTGTCTCTTGGTTAGAAGCAAGTTGCAGCTCCCATCCACACTCAAGAGGAGGGGGTCACAAAAGGGCATGAAACCAGGAAATGGGCATCACAGAGGCCACTCTATAAAGTCTGTCTGCTATAACTTGTTTGCTGTATCTTAATATAGGATGAATGTTTCTCTTATTCAGTAATTTTTGTTATTTATATGTAGTGATAACTGGATTTTTAATTTTTCTAACCAGATTCCATTGGCCGTGACATCCCCAAAATGCTTGAATTATTTAAAACTGGACATGAAATTAAGGTAGATGAAGAAAGGGAGAACTTTCTCCAGACCAAAATAGCAACAGTAAGTTACAATGGAAATTGTTATTAAATAACCATCTTTTTTTTTTCTTTTGCTTGAGTGACTGATAATTTAATATAATATGCCAGTCCTTTGAACTTGTTCTTGGCACTAACATCAGGAGTAGCAGTAAATATATAGAGAGATAATTTCTTTTTATTCTGTATATTGAACTCATAAATTTTAATGGTATTTGAGAATTCCTTCATGTGCTACTCAGTGATACTGTATTTTGTCTTATTTGATTGTTCTATGTATGTATTTTTTGCTCTCTAATATTCTAAGTTTATTGAGAGTAGGGATAGATCTTGTATATCCCCTGTGGAACATTGCATAATGCTGAGTGCATAGTAGGTATTTAATGCTACTATACTGGAATTGAGTAATTTGCTTTGTTTTTATGAATTGTTTTGATTATCCCTGCTTGTGTTTTTTTTTTTTTTTTAAAGATTTTATTTATGTATTTGAGAGAGAGAGAATGAGAGACAGAGAGCACGAGAGGGAAGAGGGCAGAGGGAGAAGCAGACCCCCCGCTGAGCAGGGAGCCCGATGCGGGACTCGATCCCGGGACTCCAGGATCATGACCTGAGCCGAAGGCAGTCGCTTAACCAACTGAGCCACCCAGGCGCCCTCCCTGCTTTTGTTTTAAAAACTGCCTACTTATAGAAGATGCTGGAAATCAACTCTCAAAGCTATTTTTTTTGGACTCTGATATAGATATGTCAGGTTTATAGGACTATGTTTTTAGATATAGTTATTTCCTAATATCTTCTTTATGCTGAGGAATCTCTAAAATTTTTACTGTTCAGTAACCATAGGAATAATAGTGATATTGATAATAAAATTTAAACAGTGCCTAGCAAGTGCCAGGCACTATTCTAAACACTCTTCATTTCATATATTCTCTCTCTTAATCTTCAACACTATGAGAGGACAAATTATCATCCCCATTTTATGGATGAAGGCCAAAGAGGTTAAATAATCTTTCCAAGGTCTCACAGCTAGTATGAGGCAGAATAGGTATTTGAATGTTGGCAGTCTTTTCATGAGTCCAGGCTTTTTGCCCAAAACCGTCTTGCCTCAGGCCTGGAATTACTTGAATAGCTGTTATTCCTCTTCCCATCCTGCTCTTAGAGGAATTCTGCATTATAGCCCACAGCTAGTAGTCCAGGCTAATTGAGCTATGCCCCACTATAGATCATCAGAAGTAGAGAAAAGGTACTTAGCTAGTTTTATGGAAGGAAAACTTGCTTTAGAAAGAGGGCAAAACAGTGTAATCCAGTCAGGGACTGGGAAAGCCCTCATTGCTGTCATTACATCAGAGCTCGGCATCAATTGTGTGGCATTGTGTTCTGCTAAAATCTGATGTTGCACTTCCCTTATTTCCAAAAGGCCCTTGGCAGTGCTTCTTGTTTGTTAGGGATGATAACATTGTAATATACAAAAATGAAAAAAATGGAAATTTTAAGAAAATATTGTAAAGCTGTGGAGTCTTAGGTTTGAATACCTGTTCTGCTCCTTATGGGATGGCAGACTTTAAACAAGTTTCTTAATGTTGTGTCTCCAATTCCTGAGCTATCGAATTTATGTAGTAATATTTATTTCACAATGTGGTTTTGAAGATTAAATAAAAATTTGAAATGGTAGCAGCAATTGTTAGTGTTTTTTGTTTTTAGAGATTCATTTTATTTTATTTTAGAGCGAGGGGGAGGGGCAGAGTGAGAGACTCTTCAAGAAGATTCCCTGCTGAGTGGGGATCCCAACACAGGGCTTGATCCCACAGCCTGTGAGATCATGACCTGAGCCAAAACCAAGTTGGATGCTCAACTGACTGAACCACCCAGGTGCCCCATTGTTACGGTTTTGGTTGGACTTTTGGGGACTATAGGACATCTTTATAAGACTATTTCTTTTCAGCTGGATCTTTTCTTTTTGTTAAGTAATATTTTCAGTAGTTAATAGTTTATATGGATCCTGACTCTGTATAAGAAACTGTGGCATCTCATTTATTCTTCTCAACAAATACCATAGTTCTTAAGTGATTACATGAGCTCCAGGTCAGACTACTTGTATCATTTAGAGGTAGAATGTTTTTTCTTAATGAAAAATAAATTAATTTCTGTGTTTAAGAGAATCTTTTTGAATACTACTTAAATATTACAGTATTATATAGTATAGCAGATTAAGAGAGTGGATTTTAGATTTATACTCTCTGGATTCATATCCTAGTTCCAGATTGGAATTGTGTTCCCTTGCTCTCTGAGCCTCAGTTTTCTCCCCATTCCCCATTTCCCCTAAATGCAAAATGAAGTTAATAATGATGCATATTTTCTAGGCTAGGAAGGAGTAGTTGAAATAATGACTATAAAGCAGACTTCTACTTCTGACTAACATGGAGTAACAGGGACCTGATTTACTCTTTCACCTAAGATAATCAGCATTACCTTGATACCAAAATCAGGCAAAGAAAGATACAGTCCAGTATCATTCATGAAAAATAGATGTTAAAATTATAAACTAAATTTTAGCCAGTGGAATCCAGCAATATATATGAAAAAAGGATAACATGTCATCACCAAGTAGGGTTTATCCTAGGAATACTAAGTTAGTTTAACATTCAATGATCAATCATTAAAATTCACCATATTAACAAACTATAAATCAAAAGCTGTCTGATTATCTCAGTAGATACAGAGAAAGCATTTGACAGAATCCAACATTCATTCCTGATTAAAAAGTCTCAGCAAAGTAGGAATACAAGTTAATGTCCTCAACCTGATAAAAGGCATCTAAGAAAAACCAACAGCTAACATTATTTTTTTTAAATTTCTGATTTGAATGGAAATGCCTCTAGTGTTTTTTGTTTTTTTTAAATTTTATTATGTTAGTCACCATTCAATACATCATTAGTTTTTGATGTAGTGATCCACAATCCATTGTTTTCGTATAACACCCAGTGCTCCATGCAATACGTGCCCTCCTTAATACCCATTCCCCCACCCCCCTCCCCTCTAAAACCCTGTTTGTTTCTGAGTCCATAGTCTCTCATGGTTCATCTCTCCCTTCGGTTTCCCTCCCTTCATTTTTCCCTTCCTTCTCCTAATGTCCTCCATGCTATTCCTTATGTTCCACAAATAAGTGAAACCATATGATAATTGACTTTCTCTGCTTGACTTATTTCACTTAGCATAATCTCCTCCAGTCCCATCCATGTTGATATAAAAGTCGGGTATTCATCCTTTCTGATGGCTAATATTCCATTGTATATATGTACCACATCTTCTTTATCCATTCATCTGTTGAAGGGCATCTTGGCTCTTTCCACAGTTTGGCCTTTGCAGACATTGCTGCTATGAACATTGGGGTGCATATGACCCTTCTTTCACTACATCTGTGTCTTTGGGGTAAATACCCAGGAGTGCAATTGCTGGGTCATAGGGTAGCTCTATTTTTAATTTTTTGAGGAACCTCCACACTGTTTTCCAAAGTGGCTGTACCAACTTGGATTCCCACCAACAGTGTAAGAGGGTTCCCCTTTCTCCACAACCTCTCCAACATTTGTTGTTTCTTTCCCTGTCCATTTTTGCCATTCTAACTGGTGTAAGGTGGTATCTCAATGTGGTTTTGATTTGGATTTCCCTGATGGCTAATGATGATGAACATTTTTCATGTGTCTGTTAGCCATCTGTATGTCTTTTTCAGAGAAGTGTCTTTTCATATCTTCTGCCCATTTTTTGACTTGATTATTTGTTTTTTGGGTGTTGAGTTTGAGAAGTTCTTTATACCAGACCTTTATCTGTAGTGTCATTTGCAAATATCTTCTCCCATTCTGTAGGTTGCCTCTTTGTTTTGTTGACTGTTTCCTTTGCTGTGCAGAAGCTTTTTATCTTGATGAAGTCCCAAAAGTTCATTTTTGCTTTTGTTTCACTAGCTTTTGGAGATGTATCTTTTTTTTTCTTAATTTAATTTAATTTAATTTAATTTTTTATTTTTTTTTTAAAAGATTTTATTTATTTGACAGAGAGAGACACAGCGAGAGAGGGAACACAAGCAGGGAGAGTGGGAGAGGGAGAAGCAGGCTTCCCGCAGAGCAGGGAGCCCGATGCGGGGCTCGATCCCAGGACCCCGGGATTATGACCCGAGCCGAAGGCAGCCGCTCAACTGACTGAGCCACCCAGGTGCCCCTGGAGATGTATCTTGAAAGAAGTTGCTGTGGGCGATGTCAAAGAGGTTACTGCCTATGTTCTCCTCTAGGATGTTGATGGATTCCTGTCTCACCTTGAGGTCTTTCATCCACTTTGAGTTTATCTTTGTGAATGGTGTTAGAGAATGGTCGAGTTTCATTCTTCTGCATGTGGTTGTCCAATTTTCCCAGCACCATTTATTGAAGAGACTGTCTTTTTTCCATTGGATATTCTTTCCTGCTTTGTCAAAGATTATTTGACCATAGAGTTGAGGGTCCATATCTGGGTTCTCTATTCTGTTCCATTGGTCTGTATGTCTGTTTTTGTGCCAGGACCATGCTGTCTTGGTGATCACAGCTTTGTAATATAGCTTGAAATCGGGCAACGTGATGCCCTCAGCTTTGTTTTTCTTTTTCAACATTTCCTTGGCGATTCAGGGTCTTTTCTGATTCCATACAAATTTTAGGATTGTTTGTTCCAGCACTTTGAAAAATGTCATTGGAATTTTGATCAGGATGGCATTGAAGGTATAGATTGCTCTGGGTAGCATAGACATTTTAACAATGTTTATTCTTCCGATCCATGAGCATGGAATATTTTTCCATCTTTTTGTGTCTTCTTCAATTTCTTTCATGAGTGTTCTGTGGTTCCTAGAGTATAGATCCTTTACCTCTTTGGTTAGGTTTATTCTGAGGTATCTTATGGTTTTTGGTGCTATTGTAAACGGAATCATTTCTCTAATTTCTCTTTCTACAGTTGCGTTGTTAGTGTATAAGAAAGCAACTGATTTCTGTGCATTGATTTTGTATCCTGCCACAT